TCTAGATGATTATATTGAAAGTAGAAACTCACTTGAATTTAGTGATGAACTGTCATATGATGAGTTTGATAATTTGTCAGAAGAAAGAGAAATAAAGAAAGCAGAAAAATCTAATAATACTTATTTAATTGGTTTGTATGTAAAAATAAATAAGGTAAAAGACAGGTTTCATTGCACTTTTAAAGACGGATTTATTAATTCTAATGGATTACATGATATCCCATTTAAAGGAGGGACAGGAACATTAGATTGGGTGAAACATTAAATTCTTTAACTGATTTAAAATCAATTTTGTAAAAAATTTTAATAGAACATCATGGGAATAAAAAATTTGAGTAAACTATTAAAAGAGAAATGTAATATAAAAAATAAGAAGATAGAAGAATATAACGGTAAAAAAATAGCAATAGATGCACCAGTAGCCTTATATCAATTTTTGATAGCAGTTAGATCAGAAGGAAATAATTTAAGTGTAAATAATGAAACAACATCACACCTAATAGGAATATTCTATAGAACAATTAGGTTTGTTGAAGCAGGTATAACACCACTCTATGTGTTTGATGGAATGGCACCTGAAATGAAAATGAATGAATTGATGAAAAGAAAGTTAAAAAGAGAAGAAGCTGATAAAAAATTAATAGAAGCAAAAGAGGCAGAAGATCAAGAATTGATAGAAAAGTACACAAAAAGGAATGTCAAAGTAGAAGAAAAACACATATTAGAAGCACAAAAATTATTAACACTTCTAGGAATTCCCTGGTTAATAGCAGAATCAGAAGCTGAAGCATATTGTTCATTTTTATGTAAGAAAGGATACGTAGATGGAGTAGCAACAGAAGACATGGATGCATTATGTTTTGGATGTCCGATATTAATAAGAAATCTAAATGCAGCAATAAAAAGTAAATTTGAAATACAAGAATACAATCTTAATGAAATACTTAATTCACTTTCTATTACAATGGAATCATTTATAGACATGTGTATCTTATTAGGATGTGATTATTGTTCTTCTATAAAAAACATTGGACCTAAAAGAGCATATGATTTGATTACTAAATACAAAGACATTGAATCAATATTAAAAGAAATTAAAGAGAATAAAACATTTGATGTGGAAGAAAAATTTAACTATGAAATTGCAAGAAATTTGTTTAAAGAAT